ACATATTAATTTATCTAAGCTTTAAAGAATTCTCCAGGGCTGGAGACTTAGCCCAGTGTAACTACACCTGCCTCACCTGCCTCACAAGAACAAGGTCCTGAGTTCGATTCCTAGTATACCCCCACAAAAAATTCTCCTCCTTTTTTTTTTTTTCTCAGATAGAGAAATTGAATCCAGAGAAGTTGAGTAACTTTCCCATGAAGCAGAGCTTGGATATTTCTACACCACTTTTTTTTTTCAGGCTGGATTTGAACTATGTAGCCCAGAGTGGCCTCCAATTTATGGCAGTCCTCCTGCCTCGGCCTCCTGAGTGCTGGGATTACAGGTATGTGCCACCATGCCCAGAATGATTCCAGAACCTTTCTACCTGCTGTCTCCTCCATCTATGTGCATCTGCAAAGTTTCATTAGCTAGTTTAGGGAGTTACTTGTCCCTTCTCTGTACTCCTCACCTATCCCTGTACCAATCCCTCTCAAGACATCATTAAATACTAATTATCTCTTCATATACATGGGTTTTTTCCTAAAAACTGAGCTCTTGAAGGGTAGGAACTAGGTCGTTATACATAGGTGCTTAGTAGCTGTTAAATAAGTGAACATTGGCAGTAAGATTCTGGAATTGATCCTGGATGTGGAGATGATCCTCTATTGTACAAGTCAAGGTCTCTCATTTCCTACCCAGCCACATCTTGGCCAATTTCTCAAAGATTGCTGTATTTTCTATTTTTGGACACCAGGGAGCGCCACTAATAACATAGCCCAAACTCAGGAATTTCTACTTTTTGGAGTAGATCTGACTCTTGATTGCACGTCTTCTTGTTTCTTTCATTTTCTAAATGAAAGCTATTGGTGACCAGAATCCCCAAGTGTAGAGAAAGGACAGTTAGGCTGCTGTACAGAACATATCATTTATGCATTTGCTTAGCAAAATGCTTTATTCTGGGGAACTTGACCTGTGAGAATATAAAGATGAATGAAAGGCAATCCTTGATGAGCTCAGTCTACTGGTGAAGAGAAATATTTATTAGATGACCAAACTCTGCTATATGAAAGCTCTAAGGTATAGTGGAAGACTAGAGAGATAAGTCAGGAAAGTACCAAAGGCACGGGTGACTTTTGAGGTTTCCTTTTTTCCCCCTAAAACATAACCTTTGGTTCATAACATATTGTCATCATTGGTCCAAGGCATTATGAACATGGGTATACAAATATTTGAGGTCCTGCTGTCATTTCTTTTCAATATACCCAGAGGTAGAATGGCTGGATCATTTGGTAGTTCTATTTTTGATTCCTAGACACCATTTTAACTTCACAGGAAATGCAACAGGCTCTGAGAAGTTCAAGGTCCTGGTGTGAATTGGTAACCAGTCATGGTTTCTTGCCTCTAGGACCCACGCTTTTTGTACCAAATAGGTTATGCACTCACATCCTAAATAAATCATGTGGTAGCTGAGAGCAAGATGCACTTAAACCGGAAGGAAGTTGTGTTAAGCAAGCTTTAATTTGCTCTTTGCTTGTGATTCCTCTTAACAGAATGAGTGCATAAGTTAGTGGCTTGGGCAGAAATGACAAAGTGGTAGCGAGTGATTAATCTGGACTGCAGATGTGTTTTATGTGGTCTGTGCAGGGTCAAATTAAATTAATTAATTAATTTCTTGTTGTTTTTGAGACAGTGTCTCACTATGTAGTTCAGGCTGGTCTTGAACTTATTAGGTAGCCCAGGCTGAGCTCAAATTCTTGGTGATCCTCCTTATTGCTAGGATCAAAGGTGTGTGCCACCATGCTCTGCTCTATGGGGTTTTGTATTGTATTTATTTTTGTGGTGCTGGGGAGCAAACCCAGGGCTTCATGGATGCAAAGCATGAGCTCTATCACTGAGCTACATCCCCAGCCATGGGTTTTACACTTCTATTTTTAGGGCCCTGAGTTTCATACTTCTAATCTTTATTTATTTATGTTTGGTACCGGGGATTGAACTCAGGACCTTGTGCTTGCAAAGCAGGTGGTGGAACCACTGAACTAGATTCCCGGCCCTCTAATTTTAGTTTTAATTTAATTTTTCTTGCTCTGTTACTCTTGCTGACCTTGACTTTGCCCATCCTCTTGCCTCAGCCTCTCAAGTAGAATTATAGGCATGCACCACCATGTTTGAATTGGGTCTTGTACTTTTAAATTTAGTTGCATAATTATGAAAAAGGAATATATCATTGGGAATATTCTGAATCCTACCTGGGCAATTTAGTGAGACACTGCCTTAAAAGGAGTGGGGAAGGGATGTAGCTCTGTGCAATGGCTCTGGGTTTAATTTCCAATACCAGAAAAAAAAAGTAATACGTCATATAAAAGTCCAGAACTGGGCATGGTGGTGCACACTTGTAATGCAAGCTTTCAGAGGCTGAGGCAGGAGAATCACTGCAAGTTTGAGGTCAACCTGGGCTATATAGTGAAGCCTGAATTACGTAGCAAGCACCTATCTCAAAAAACCAAAATAAATAAATAAATAAATAAATGTTCAGATGTCTATTTTCTAATGACTCAAAACTGGCCCACCCCGGCTGCTTTCCAGTCCAAAGTTGCCACCACTCCCTCTTATGCCTACCTATTTCTCTCAATTATTTGGGATTAATGGCCCCTGGCTCAGAACATAGATCTTCCAGGTTTTAGGACACGGAGAGGTCTGACTTCTGTTCTGGGAAATTTTCCCGCACATAGCTGTTAATAAGTATTTAGTTGACGAAGTGAACTATCTCTTGTAAACCAGCTTTTCCTGAGCACCTTCTATGTGTAGGGTCATAAAGACAAATGAACTCCGAAAACTCATAATCACAAATTTGGGGAAGGGCAGACATAACTATGATACAACTCTGCACACAGACTGATTCTGATGAGGTGATTTGGGTAGGAGTTTCTTTTTCTTTTTCTTTTGAGACAAGGTCCCGACTTGTAGTTCAGGTTGGCCTGGAACTCACGATTGTAGCTCAAACTGACCTTGAATTTGAGATCTTCCTGCCTCAGCCTCCAGAGTGCTTGGATCACAGGCATGTGCCACCACACCTGGCTTGGGTAGGAGTTTTTAAGGAGACATAACTATGTCTGGAGGAAGGAAAGGCCAGCTCTATAAAGAGCTGGGTGCAGGGAAGAGCTTTTGAGGCAGAAGCAACAGCAGATACAAAGGCTGAAAGTTTGGTTATGTTTGGGGAACTTAGGGAAGAGTGTATGTAGGTCAGTGATGAGTGCTTGCCTAGCTTGCCTGAGGCCCTGGGTTCCACCTCAGCACTGCAAACAAGAGAGACAGAAGGCCAGTGTGATAGGAGCTTAATAGAGTGGGGAGAGTGGTAGTAGATGACGTTAGATCTATATTTTTATATCAACAGCCTAACCCTTAAGCCAAGCAGCTGTTTGGCAAATCCGCGTTCTGGTCTTCAAAGAGCTTGTTCAGAACAGGAGCTGGTTTAGCACTGTCAGTCAGAGGAGCGACTGAGCCTAATCCTTTCTCCTGTCTTTGGTGCCAAGGACAGGGTAGGGCACAGAGGAGGTTTCAGTAAAAGAGTTGCTGACGGTATGCAAGAGAAGAGAACAGGAAGTGCAGGCTTTGTTGAAGGAGGCCCAGGCGCGGCTGTCTCTGCACTGGGACATTCATTCTCATGTCGCTGTCACCTCCTCCAACCGACTCAGAGAGCTGGGAGAATTAGATGCAGGGAGGGACCAGCCACAGGCCCTGACCGCAGAATCCTCCAGGAGGTGGGGGCTTGCGGGGTAGGTAACATGACAGTCTGTGAAAATTTATTGAGGGCATCCAACCACTTGAAGGGGCGGAGAGGAAGTGGTCAGAAGGCAGGTAGACTTTTAGTCCAGACTCAAGATATGTGTAGGACAATTTAGTCTAAAGTAGTGTGGACAGTGCATTTTACTTTCTGGCATAATTACCTCTGAAATTACTTTCAGGCCTAATGGGCCTTCTCAGGGGCTGGCCCTCGCTTCACTCCCTAACCCTCTGCAAAGGGGCAGGGCCTCGCAGGAGCTCGGCGTTTTTGCAGTACTTGGGTTTTCCCACCAGGGGCCGCTGCGCAAGGGCGACGGAGCGCGCGGATTCCCAAGCCGCAGAGAGGCGGAAGCCGATTGGCTGTGAGGCACGGCGGGAGGGCGGTGCCTGAGGGGCTGGTAGGGAGTAGGGGGCTGGGCGCGCGCCCCCAGGCCAAACCTGGCCGGACCGCTATCGCCCGAGGTGGCTCCCGGGCGTCTGTCGCGGTGCTGGGGCCTCTCTCCAGCCTGACACCAGAATAGAGGAAAGCAGAGCAGCACCGCGGCCCGGAGACTCAGGCTGGGTGGCTGCTGTTGCTGTCACCGCCGCCGCCGCCGCCGCATCCGCAGGCCTGGGTTACCTGAGCAACTGTGTGGCCGGCTGCAGCCAGCAAGCGGGCCCTTAGCGCGGGAGATTCTGTAGGGAAAGGGAGGCTGGAGCCTGAACCTCCGTGCGGGACGGGGACCCGGCGAGGACGAGC